CCTCTCCCCTTCTCGGAGAAGGGGAGGCCCTCAAGGGGTATCAACCCACCCTGGCAACTCAAGTGACAGCCTGACTCTGGCTTTTATGTGTTTCTCTGAGTATCCAGCTCAGGTTTTCATAGTTGTGTGGCTTGTGAGCCGTCCTCACAGCCTTTGAGATTGTTTTTAACCCACCTCTTAATTTCTTCAAGGCCCAGTGTGCATATGGGCATTGGAAGGAAGCAACAGACAGTTATTGTCTCTCTCTTTCTCTCTCTCGCTTTTTTATTTTTTTTTTTATTTTTTATTTTTCCACTTTTTGTGTTTGGGTGTTTTGTCTGCATGAATGTCTGTGCACTCCATGCGTGCCTGGTGCCCAAGGAGGTCATGAGAAGGCATTAGCTCTGTTGGAACTGGTTGTGAGCCATCATGCAGGTTCTAGGTTTTCTGGAAGGGCAGCCAATTTTCTTACCAGTTTCCCCCACTTGAGCTCTTGTCTTGGACATCTTAGGTTGATCAGAGCAGTGGGGACATTTGTAAAGGCTGTGGTTGTGCAGTGTCCTGTGAGGAGCCCTGTGATCATAGCGTTACTAACTAGAGTAGTGAATAGTACTCCACCGATCTACTGCCAATAAGATTTCTCATGAGGCTTCGGGCTCCTCTGAGGAGGCAGTGAGTGACATTTCTTAGTGGTATGGGGTGGCTGGCTCTGTAGCACAGTTTGCTACCTTCTCACGTAGGCCTGTGCTGGTTTTGCAGGTGCAGAGGTACTTGGAGAAGAGCATGGTCAGCAGGAAGGTACTTTTCCCCATTGTCCTGGCAAGGAGCCAGAGTACCCCTACCTGCTTTACTGTACTGCCTGAGGATTCTAGGCTGTCCATAGTGTGGAGTGATTTTTTGGCTCGGGAGGAAAGGGACTGCAGACTGGCTTGGGTGTCTCATTCAGGATTTCTTCTCATTTCTGTCTGTCTATCTTATTCTCCGTCTTCCACGCAGCTCTTTGGCTTCACAGAACGTTTTGGAGTTGTTCTTCCATCCCTCCCAGCTTCTCAGAATCGTAATCTCGATGGCTTCCAGCACTTCATGAAGAGCCTGCAGTCAGGGCCTCCTGAGGGTGAGTTAGGAGGATGAGAGAGAAGAGCCGGACCAGGTCCTTGGAAAGAAACTGGTTTTGACCTAAGGAAGGCCTTCTTTCCTTCCCTTTTCTTCAGACTCCCTGGAGGAGGGCCAGGCTCCAGCCCCGAGGGCTGCCTCCCCACTGATGCACATTGAGGCCTTCCTGGCAGCTCTTACCACTGCCAACCAGGACGGCAGGGTTATCTTGAGGCGCCAAGGTAATCCACTGCTTGTAGCAAGGGGCCTAGCTTGAAAGGGCTCTCCCATACTGCCCTACGCTATATGTGAAGGAACCACATGTCTCCGAGACCTGGAGCTAGCAATGGTTCTGGAGATGGGTATCAGAGGTGCTGCATCGTCTCAGGCAAGGTCCATACAGGCCATAGAATCTTACAGTTGAGGTTTGGTGGGGTTGGACTTTAGAATACTGGCCAGACTGTCTTTGCTCTTGAATTTCCACATAGTCCAATGGTAAGAGAAATGTTTGTTTGTTTCTTAAAGGGAGAGTGAGAGTTCACTGACCTTCGTTGATCTTCTGGAGTTCCCTATGCCTAATCTACTCCATCCCTTTGCCATTTGTCTGTTTGTCTTTCAGGCAGTGTTGGTCAGAGCAGCCTGAAATTCTTGCTCTTGAACCCAGCTGTACACTTTGCCCAGGTGGTGAAGGAATGCCGAGCAGTGGTCATTGCAGGTGGCACCATGCAGCCGGTAAGATAACAGGGAAGGACACCCATTAGGTCTCTATTCTCTGTCCCCTGGGTCCCTCAACAGAAAAGGGCCAGCACATGCAGGCCCAGCAGTGTCCACCAAAGCCCACCAGGTACCGCTGCCATTTCACTGCCTTTGCTTGCAGCCTGTGGAGCAGGCTTCTGTGAGGAGAAGGAAAAAGCCCGTCTGTTGTCCCAGACTCTAACTTAGATACTGCTCTGTCATTCCTTTCCTGTCCCAGAGTCTCTCTTAGAAATGTTTTTCGAAAAGTCAGTTTTATTATAGAAATCATTGATAAGCTGTAAATACCAGAATTCTACCAACCAAAGGATCATGCAGCATATGTATATATATATTTTTTAAATCCACTCTTCTACATTATTGGTATAATTTGCTTTTTCTCTTATTTATTCTTGTCAGCAAATACTTATTCTAGCATATTCCACTGTGTTGCAGTCTAACCATGTAGATATGCTACATTTTTACCATCTGCTACTCACACTACTTCTATTCTATTGGATATTTAGATTCTTTTCCTACTGCTTTTGGTTTTCACAGTTCTGTGGTCAGTGCAGACAAAGCAGATCTAAGGGTTGTGTTTCTTCCTGAGAGCAGACGGTTGGGTTCCTAAGAATGATGTGCGTTCCGCCTTGGCTGCCTATTACAGTGGCCCCTAGAGCTTTCTTTGGCTTCTCTGTCTTGTTTTCCCTGTGTTGTTGCTGATGAACCTCAGAACCATGTATGGGTCAGGCAAGTACTCTACCATCAGGGCACATTCCAAGCCCGTGTAGGTATTTGTTTTGTTTTTGGATTGGGTCAGGTGTGTACAGATTTGTACATTTGATTTCATTTGGTGTGTTAACTTTGCACATGGTCATTATTGTTCTGTCTGTTTTTGTGATGGGGTCTCACTATGTAGTCTTCATGTTTTGAGATAGGGTCTCTCTCTATAAGGCCCTTGCTGTCCAGAATTCATTATATAGATCAGACTGGCCTCAAACTCAAGAGATCCACATGCCTCCGCCTCTCAAGTGCTGAGGTTAAAGCATGTACCACCATGCCAGGTTCTTACTATGTGTGACTTACTATGTCCTTATGAGTGACCTTGGCTGGCTATACAGACTGTTGTTAGTCACCATGTGGCCTCTAGGAACCCAAACCCAGATCCTCTGCAAGAGAAATGAGGGCTTTTAACCATGGAGCCATCTCTTCAGGCCTCAGGTTTTGTATTAAAGATTTTGCATGTGTATATTTGTTGAGTACATGTCTTGTATCTCACTTTTCTTCGTATTTGCACTTCTTTCCTTCTCATTGTTCCCTTAGTGTTACTTCAACACTGTGCCATGTATGTATAATGATTTCGTGTATTCATGTAAAATCTAAGGCTGCAGCCAGCTTAATGCACTTACGGTCACCTTCCTCAGTTACATATTCTTAACCTTCCTTAGCCTACATAACCTTCCCCAAGAGGGTTTCTCTGTGTAGCCCTGGCTGTCTTGGAACTTGCTCTGCAGACTAAGCTGGCCTCATACTCAAAGATCCACTTTCCTGTGCCTCCTGAGTGCTGGGATTAAAGGTGTGTGTCATCACTGCTCTGCAAAATGACGTATTTCTAATATTGTCCTTTATACCACATTTTCTTTATTCCAGCCTCTGTGGATGGAAGACATTTTGTTTGACTGATTGGGTTTTGTACTTAGTGCGGCAGTGACCACAGATGTGGAATACCTTGGGTTACGTTGGGGTCCTTTGGCTGAATAATGGTGGAGTAAGGTCTCATAAACAGAGGCAGATAGCTAATTGAGGAGCCTATTAGCATATCAGAGTGATCCCAGCATCACTCAGTACCTGTGGCTCCTCCCAGCACTCCTTATCGTGCTCCCTACACTAAACCTCTTCCTTCTAGGGCCTGGGTTTTCTCTTCCCTTCACCCAACCTGAATCCTATGTATCTCAGGCATCTTGGCTACACCACTCTCTTGGCCTCTTGGCCCAGGCTGCCTCTTGTTCAGTGGCTCCCTCTCTTGCTCTCCTTCCCGTCTCCCCTCTCATGGTTCAGTTTAGTCTGCTGGCCATGTTCAACCTGGACTCTTCTCTCTGCCTGATTTCTCCCCCGTAGCTTATGATGAAAATCTTCTCCATACTGTAGGAATCATGTCCTCCTTTTATTTTATTTTTTTCCCTTCAGCTGGGCCATATGGAAGATCTGTTTTGTTTTGAGAAACCTGCATACTGATTTCCGTAGGAGACTAGTGAACATTCTCATTAGCAGTGTGTAGAGCCCTGTTGTCCACATCCTTGCTCTTCAGTTTTCTTGCTTTTTAAAACATATTTTTGTTCTTTGAGAATATTATCTGATGTATTTTGACCATATTCATCTCCCCCTTTACCTCCTCCTCCTTTCTCCATCAAGTCTAATTTTGTGTTGCCCAATTAGTCTTGGTAGTAAGTCCTGCCTTGGTGTGCATTTGACCACTAGGGGTTCATGTCATTAAAGAAAACTGACTTTTACTCTCCCAGCAGCTGCCGACAGTTAATAGTTCCTCAGCTAGTGGTAGGATTCATGCAGAGACTCTGACTGCCTGGAGCTTGCTCTGGTCTCAGTCTGTGACATATTTGCATCTGCCCTGTTATGTCCTGAAACAATTTCTTTGATGTTATCTTCCACCCCTGGATCTTATAATCTGTCTTCCCCTCTTCCTGAAGATCTCTAAGCCTCGAGTATTCTGTTTTGATTGTTATTCTGGTAGGATAAGGTAGGAATATTTTTTAAATATGTATGTGAGTACTCTATTTGCATGTTTGACTGCATGACAGAGGAGAGCATTAGATCTCTTTATAGGTGGTTATAAGCTACCATATGGTTGCAGAGAATTGAATTCAGGATCTCTAGACGAGCAGTCAGTGCTCTTTAACTGCTGAACCATCCCTCCAGCCCAAGGTAGGAATCTTAATGTAGTTTTTATTTTCATTTTTCTGGTGGTTAGTAATGTATTTCTTGACCATTTCTTGTTTTGAGAACTGTTAGACCATTTCCTGACTAGGTTGTTTGATTTTTTGCTTTGTTTCATTTTTTGAGTTCTGTGTACATTGTGCATAGTAGTCTGTATTGTTGATTTTAACACATAGAAAGGGCTCGGAGCCAAACATGCCAGCTTCTTTAAGTTTGCTGTTCCTAAAGTTTTCTGTCAACATTGGATGCTGTTTCTGGTTGTTTTCTTTTAGCTAATAGTCATAGGCCCTTTTTTCTTTCTTAATGTCTGGGCTTGCCTCCTACCCCAGACTTCTTACCTCATTGCAGAGCAAACAAGTCCAAGCTCTAAGGTCACAAGGCCCTGATGTTACTACTGCAGGTGTCTGACTTTCGGGAGCAGCTGCTAGCATGTTCTGGAGTGGAAGCTGAACGAGTGGTGGAGTTTTCATGTGGTAAGCAACTGTGTGGAGGGTGGGATGGGTCTTGATGCACTGGCACTTAGCCAAAGGCAGAGAACTCCTCTGGATTGGAACCTTACCCTTCGTGGGCTTGCTTACCAGCATACTTCCCCAGGTTCTTCAGTTCTGTGCTCACCTCACCCCATTGTTTCCTTTGGGTATGTCGGTGCAGAGAAGCCAGTGCACTTCAGGTTTTTGCTCCTGGTTGGAAAATGATTGGGGAAACTGCCCTACCTATATACTAGTTTTCAGCCCTTCGTATCACCAGGTCATGTGATCCCTCCAGACAACATCTTGCCCCTTATTATATGCAGCGGACCCTCTAACCAACAGCTGGAATTCACCTACCAGAGAAGAGAGCTGCCTCAGATGGTTAGTGCCAGCCTACTTCCTGTCCTTTCTAGTCTGTGACCAGGGAGAGACTTGTACCAGCATTGGCACTGGGATGGATGGTTACATCTGGCACATGAGCACATTCTTTTTTTTTTTTTTTAAGGTATTTATCAAGTAAGATCTTAGCTGCCTTCCTCTCTATAAACTGCTAAATATTTTCTAATGAGCTCCTAGCATCCCATTAGGATGCAGGATGGGGGCTCTTGTTTGCGTTTTCGGGGCTCTTGTTTCCTGCCTCTATTCTGGGAAGGCTGTATGTTTTTGGGCACAACTTCTGTGGCATCTTAATGCTAATTTGTTCTGGATGGTGCCCCTTGTGAAACGGGGACTTTAGGAGAGCTCAGTGGCATACCAAGAAGTGTCAGATTCTTTTCATCTCTGGGATACCAGTGATGGGATGTGTCATAAAGGCAAGCAGTCACCAGAAGTAGCAGGTGGGAATACCTGTTAAGACAGTGCTGGTGCACTGCATGCGACAGAAGGGGAGCTGCTTGGCCTCCATCGCGTCTGGGTGTGGCTGTGGGGCCTGTTCCAGGCTAGCTCTTTTGTCTGCCTTCTACAGATGGAGGAGACGGGCCGAATTCTCTGTAACTTGTGCAATGTGGTCCCTGGAGGGATGGTTTGTTTCCTCCCTTCCTATGAGTATCTACGCCAGGTACATGCTCACTGGGACAAGACTGGGCTGCTGGCACGTTTGTCAGTCAAGAAAAAGGTAAATGCCCCTTATCCTTTATATAAGGACATTGCTAGGTATTGCTCTTCCTGGGGTCCCTCAGCTTGTTTACTTGGTAGGTTGACGAGCTGGGAGAATATGAACCATGCCAGGTAGGCCTGGGACACTGGACATGGGGATTTCCTGAAACTTGACTCCATGATGTTCCACCCTCAGGCTTAGAAAAGCAGCCTGAGGCTCAAGACTTATTCTTTTCCTTTTGCTGGGAGACCTTGTCTTTCCCTTAGATATTCCAAGAACCCAAGAAAGCAAGCCAGGTGGAGCAGGTGCTGGTGGCTTATTCCAAGTGCATTACGGTGAGAGGTGGAAGAGAGGCTGACCCGGAGACCACCTGTGCCTGTAGCTGGGAAACTGGCTCCTGGGATTGGATTAACAACTTTGGTGTGGTTCCCCCCTGACAGTGCTGCAGAAACACAGGAGGCCACCTCACAGGGGCGTTGCTTCTCTCTGTGGTTGGCGGGAAGATGAGTGAAGGGATCAACTTCTCTGATGACCTGGGCCGGTAGGTGTTGTGTCTATTTGTCTGCTGGGGCTGAGAGCCCTGGGCCCTACCTGCCAGGTCATGCCATAGGGTCTGCTTGCAGTCTGTAGGCTGTGGATGGAGTGTTTGAAACTCCTCTTCATCTGGCTATGTAGACCAGAGAAGTAGGCAGCCATGACTTGCTGAGGATCCAGGTCTTCAGCCTCGATGGATCTCTGAGCTAAAAACACCGTTTCCAGGTGGTAGCTCCATGATGAGAACCGGAGAGGCATAAACATGGTAGGAGGGCTTAGTGGGTGAGAATGCATGCTGGGAAGGTAGGAGGACACACAAAGACTAATGAGCAGCACACACAGAAAAGCCTGCATGGTTGTATTTGCCTGTAAGCAGTGGGAGTCTGTGATGGCAGGCCCCTGGGTTTAACTCCTAGGTTCAGGTGAGCTTCAGATTTACTGAGAAACCATGTCTCAGAAAATCAGGTATAGAGCCTCAGAAGACAACACCCGACATCTTCCTCTGGCCTCCACACTCAGCATACAGCACATACAAACTAACACGCACATGAACCCACACATAGTTGCTTCAGGATAGCAGTTGATCCCATGTGGGTGTTGACTCCATGCTGACTTGATCACTTATGTCATCCACAGGTGTGTGGTGATGGTGGGGATGCCATACCCCAACATTAAATCTCCAGAGCTGCAAGAGAAAATGGCCTATTTGGATCAGACCCTTGTGAGTATCTGCAGAGTTCAGAAGAGGAGACGACAGGGCCAGGGAGGAAGCACTGTGACACCCCCTAGGACTGGATGACAAGGCTCTGCTTTGTACAAATGATTTCCTCCCTAGAGGTTTGGGATTATACCTCTAGCCCACTTGATCTTACAACGTAAGCTACAGCACAAGCTGTTGGCTCAGACTCATGAAGTCTGAAATCTGACTTTGCTTCAGAGCCTGGGCTACCAGGCAGGCAAAAGTGGAATTTTCTGTTTTTATCTCAGCCTAGAACACAAGGTCAGCTGCCCCCAGGGAAGGTATTGGTGGAGAATCTGTGTATGAAGGCTGTAAACCAATCTATAGGTAAGTCGGGCTGCTGTTGGGTGCAGATGGATGGATGATTTGAGGAAGAGGGGATTTTTCTGCCCTATTGTTTGAGGGTCGAATGCAGGTGGAGACCCCAGTGGGCATGCAGCATTGGTAGGTCAGATGAACTCCAGAGTCCCATCCTGTATGTCTACCCAGGCAGGGCCATTAGGCACCAGATGGACTTTGCCAGCATTGTGCTCCTGGATCATCGGTATGCCCGTGCTTCTGTCCTGGCAAAGCTGCCAGCCTGGATACGAGATCGAGTGGAGGTCAAAGCCACCTTTGGCCCTGCCTTTGCTGCCATGCGGAAGGTTAGGTTTGCTCCCTGTGCCCCAGAAGTCCTCGGCCTGAACTGGGCTTCTCACAGCCTTTTCTCTCTGCAGTTTCACCGAGAGAAGTCACACCTCTGTTTGGTATAGGCTTCTCATTTATTGTTTCTCTGCCTGACCTGGCCTTTGACTTTGGCCTAAGAAGGACAAAACTTTATGCAGACTTCTACCTAAGTCTACACCAGCCTTCCAGAGTCAGTGGAATCCAGTATTGGAACTTACACAGAAAAGCCACCGGGACAAAGCCGGATCATCCTGACCGATTCTCCCCCTAGCACCTGGCTCAGGTTCAGCCTTCTCCATGGCTTCAGGAAGCTGTGCAAGCAACAGCTTTCTGCCCTTTTTTGAGGCGTGGCCCACCCTGCCTTTGTCCTTTAGGGACGAGAACCTATTCTTGGCCTTTGACTCTCATCTCAGCCAGAGATGTCTCCATTTCAGGCTTTGTTGACTGGCCCGCTCCAGGAGGAGTTGGGTCTCTTGCTTGGCTCCTGGTCTTTCCTCACAAGCTAGCAGGGCCTCTTCTTCAGCCACCAGAGAAGATGTCAATGCCACCACACTTACCATGGCCTCAGCCACAATGCCAGGGTCATTGGACTCAACATGACTTCTTTTAGAGTTTCTTGTCTGACACCCAGGCATTTTTGGTTGGGTAGAAATATCCCTCCCCCTGCAGAGCCTCCCCAAGTCATCTCTTGTTTGAACGCGGAGAAAAGGCTCTATCCCTTCCCTCAGATATTCTGACCCATTGCTGAGATGGCCAGGGCAGGAGAAAAGCCCACGCTCTGCTGAGCCATCTGCATCTCTCTGGCAAGGCCACCCTTCGTTTCTTAGAGGGCACTCTTCACATGGGCTGAGTTCTGGAGTTGCCATTCGTTATTGTTGTGTGTCGCTGTTTTCTCAGTCCTAACAAAGGTAAGGCAAGTGTACTAGGGCTGGGGCAGGTAAGACAGTCACATGAGACAGTGGAGCTGACCCATGGTACACACTGCCCCTGCTCCGTGGAAAGGGGTGAGGTAGGATGGAGGACAGTTGTCCAGGCACTAAGCTCTGTAGACAACAGGAGCTTTAGGGTCAGGTTGCCCAGTAGCCTCTCAGAGCTGTTCCTGTAGCCTCTCAGAGTGTGTGAGGAAGGTCTCAGCCTGCTCAGGTGGTGCCGGTTCACAATCAACATCACATCTTTGCCAGATTATACACTTGGTTCATATATTCAAATGTTTGGACATAACTGTGAAGCTTCCTCAATCCATTTTGATTTCTTCGAACATCCAAGCTGAGATTGGATTGCCCAGGGGCCCCAGCGTCACTCTTAATGGAAACATCTGACTAGGAGGAGCCGGGATGCCCAAAAGAAGGTTATTTGTCTTTTGGAGAGCTCACTTAGGAGTTTCAGGATAGAGTGGGGACTTGACCATCATGAAAAGAACGATTTTAATTTGGGGGGTTCTTTCCGTGGGAATTTCATCCATATTGTTGGTAGATCCCTTCATGGGTGAGCCAATGATGATCTCGAGAAGAGCAGTTGAACACAGAGCATCTCTGGCCAACCCTCTTCTGCCTGTACATACAGCATCTCTAGGCAACTTTCTTCCTGTATATAGAACGTCAGTTACCAACTCCCTGCCTGCTGCCTGTATAAAACCCCAATTGGAACATAGCTTCTGTGGAGGGACAAGAGCTGACATCTCAGAATCAACATCTCTTAAAGATCATTCTGGTTAGGAATGGGTGCAGAAGATGATGGGAACCTTCCAAGTACTTGGGAGTAGAATCTTCCCCAGTTCTTTAGAATGGGTGATAAGGGTGTGTCCGGTGGGATCTTGGAGCTATTTCTGCAGAGATAGGCGCATCCCATGGAACTGTGAGTTCTATTTCCTATGCATCCTACATAACCAACTAGGAAAGTTCAGTGATGAGCAGATGCGTAATTGACAAAGCATTAAAGCATGAAGAAGGGAAAGGAAGCAACCAATAAACTGGATAGTGCATTGCCATGCATTAAGCGCTATATGGGTTGAGTTTTTGCTCGCTTGTTTTGTTTTTTGACACCTGGTCTCTTCTATATCTCTGGCTGTCCTGTAGATCTGTAGACCAGCCTGGCCTAACTCACAGTGATCCACCTGCCTCTGCCCACTGAGTACTGGAATTAGAGACATACTGTCCTGCCTACAAATTGTTTTTATCGTCTTCTTTAATCTTTCACCAGTGCTATATTAGCATACAGGTGCTGACTGGGCATACAGCCCTTCCCAGAAGAAGCCCTGAGCTTAATCTCCATCAGAAAAGGGTTGAGGTATTAAGGAATAACATTGATTTTCCAAGAAGAAAAGCAGGGATTTAACTGAAGCCCATAGAGGTCTGCTGAGGTCAAGCTCACCAGTACAACAGAACTAGCAAGATGAAAAAGGAGATTTCCTAGAGAGAGCCCCCATAGAGGTGAAGATGTTGCTGTCTGGAAAAGCAGAAATATAGGCTGCTGGCAGATGAGGACTCCTTGCCCGTGGGAACTGCAAGCTAGCCTGGATTTGAGGGCAGTGCAAGTCCATGCAGTGAGCTCTCATCTGAGGGAAGGAAACAAAGAGCCACATCTTGACTTTGTGTTACATTTTTGTTTTCCCAAACCTTGGACTTGAATGGCCTCTTCAGCACCTGCTCCCTTTTAGTTTCAGTTCCCACCACCAAGGAGAATTCCTTCTCAAGTTCCTTGATTCCAAATCTCAAGTGAAAAGTAATATTACCTTTCTTTTTATGGCAGATCACTGGTCACCTAAGCACTGGGCCTGGCAGGTGCTGATCCCCTCCTTGAGTGGAGAGAGACCAACCTGCTCCTGTCTTCATTGTCTCCATAATTTTTAGCAGTCCTGACCCTTTAATCCTTTGCTGAAATAGGAGCCATCCAAGAGAAAGAGGTCCCTTATCTGAACCCAGGATTAGGAGCTTTAGTACAGGTACCAGTTTCAAAGTCTGCATGAGGGCTGGAGATGGGGGCTTCTTCAGATTGTGTACAGAGGGCTCAGTACTCTAATGCTTATCACTTATCATACAACAGAACCACTTTTTGGTAAAAACAATTTTATTAGCTATAAATTATACACTAAGAGATAAGTGCTCTGAATACAAGAAATCTCACCCAACCACATCTGTTTCTCTATTTCCCTTCCTTTCCTTGTCCCTCCCCCCCTCTCCTTTCCCTCTCCCATCCTCCCTCCTTCCGCCTTACACCCTTTATGCTCATGGCTCTCCCACTCCAACATTAGGAAGAAAATCCAGGTTACTCAACTTCAGAATAGCCATAGGACAGAAGTGCTTATTCTTTTTCCCTCCCCTCCTCCAACCACGATATTTATGACAACCAAGCCAAACTATGCTTCTTATCTGTTCATTGCCTACTAAAGTGCCACAACTTCTCATGTGAGGCAAACACCATAGTAGAGAAAGCTTGCCTGGCCTGTTGTTAATGCACCACTGCTCTTATTCAGCATCCTCGCCTTGTTCTCCACATTCTCACTCCATGACCACAGTCTGAGGAGGTAGAGGCCCAGAGCTCCTTGTGCTGTGGATCTATCTGCCTTTGTTCCTCCTGATCCTGAGAACAGAAGACTGTAAATACCGCTTAAGGAAAGCCCCCTCATGACTTAACCCCTATCTCTGCAGGACACTGGTTCACAATGCACCTCATGCTTGAAAAACCACAAAAGGCTTGATGTACTCAGCATCCCGTGACTTAGGCCACTTGAAGCACTGGAAGGCTGGGATTGCTGAAGCAGCAGAGGCTGTCTGCTTGATCCACACAAGCAGAGGCAGGCAGAGAGGCTAGTCTCAGTTTCATAAGAAGGGAAAAGCTGCCTGTGGCCCAAAGTGGAGACAGTCACTATGGGGCTATAGGCTGCTATGGTTGGTCCAGTCTCTGACCTCACAATGAGCCACTGTGAGGGATGGAGGAGTGTCCTGCATATCAGGCTGTGCTGTGCTGTGCTGTGCTTTTGTCCCTACAGACCAGGGAGCTGTTTGTGGTGACCTGTGGGACTCCTTCACAGCTGGCTAGTTATTAACAGTTCTTGTTCCTAACCAAGGATCCTCTTCACCATGACGAATGAAAAAATCTTAAAAAGGCATTATCAGGTAGTGTTGCCCATTGGCCAGGGTGCCTTTGGCTGTGTGAGGCTGGGCTACCATCGGCTTACGGGTACCCTGGTGGCCATAAAGACTGTGGAGAAAACCAAGAAGAACCTGCGGTGGATCTTCACTGAGAAGGTGATACTGGAGATGCTAGAACATCCATATATCATTCGCCTGTACCAGGTCATCATTTCTGAAAGGGAAGTCCACTATGTGACTGAGTTTGCACCCGGAGGAAACTTATTCCGGATAGTGAAAGATAATGGTAGAATGCAGGAGGGGGAGGCTAAGAAAGTATTCGGGCAGATACTGGCAGCCATCAAATACTGTCACAACTTAGATATTGTTCATCGTGACTTAAAGCCCCAAAACATCCTGCTCGATGGGGAGGGCAATGTAAAAGTGATTGATTTTGGCCTTTCAACAAAAACTAGATCTGGCACTAAATTGACAAGATGTTGTGGGACCAAGGCCTTTAGTGCTCCTGAGTTGGTGCAGGGACAGCCCTATGACGGGAAGAAGGCAGACGTATGGAGTCTTGGTGTGCTTCTATATTATATAACAACTGGCAACCTTCCCTTCAAAGAACAAACCATAAAGGAGACAGAGGCGAAGATCATCACAGGACTATATAATATTCCTGATCATTTTTCCTCATCACTTGAAAACCTCATTTTCCAAATGCTTAACGTTATGCCAGAGAGGAGGCCGTCCGTTGAAGATCTTGAGAAACACCCATGGGTTAAAAAATACGAAATAAATGTCCCCAAGGAGATGTACCCAGATCCCAAGATTGTGGACATGCTCTGTGAATTTGGGTTTAATCGCAATTCCATCTTTGAATCACTAGGAAAGAATAAATATGATGAGATTATGGCATTGTATCTCATCTTAAAGGAGAAGGAACGAAAGGGGCTTGAGCTTGGCAGCACCACCGAAGCCAACCCTGTGGACCCTGGACCCACACCACCCTCCACCCCAGCATATGCGTCTGTCTCTAGTCTTCCCCTAAAGCGTATCACCAGTGCCCCCACCTTTGGCCTCCTCCATGCCAAACCCTCAGCCCAGCACCAGCCTGTTGCCAGGACACTGCTAGGGAAGAAGCTGGTCAGAAGCGCCTCCCTGCCTGCCGTTAATCTATGCTTCTCCCGGAACAACAGCCCCGCTTGTACCTATGTTCCCCCATGCCGAGCTGTGACTGCGCCATGTGTATGTTGCAGTGTGTTAAAAGAGGAACCGCCCCTGCCACCAGGGCGAGACTCCGCCACAGACAGAGTACCTCCTCCTCAGGACATTGGGTATTTCAAAAGACTGGGCAAGAGAATCAGGGCTTGCCTGTCAAAACTCTGTTGTCCCACCTGACTCCCCCCAAAACTACCCTGGCCTACGTTCAGCAATAAAGTGGCTCCCCTGGAGAAGGCCTGAGGCAGAGTCCAGTGACTAGGCAAGCAGGTATGAGGGGTCCCTCTGTGCTTTGCATTTCCCTTTCTCTGTCTGTCTTTGTGTCTTGGCATGGAAACATCAGAAAGGTTCAACCTTGTGGCCCAGGGCAGGGTCACGTGCACTTGCACACCATCCCCCAGGGTAAACCCTCTCCCGAGCACAGCGCCTCAGGAAGAAACGCTGCAGGAGCACACTTAGCTGATACCTGATGCAACCCAACTAGCAGTAGACAGCAAGAGACCGTGAGCACAGCCAGGGGGAAGGGGGCTGTGGAGCTGTTGTCCTAGGACATGTTTACATGGGAAGACTCTGCTTGGGGACCTACTGCCTGGCAGAGTGACCTAGGTCAAAGCACAGAGAGGCCACCTCAGTGTCTCCCTACAGTTCAACTGGACAGGCCGAGCGCACTGAGCCATGGGGAGGCCAACATGGGGAGGCCCAGCTGCACACCTGGTTCCTGAGTACCTGCATGCCCAGGCTAAAGGAGTCTTCACAGCGGCCTCCCGGAGCCTGGGCATACCACACCATGCTGGTCTTTTCAGCCATCTTCTATGAAGAGCAGAGCAGCTGGCAGCATCATCTTACTGTCCCCAGGCTCAAGGCCAAAATCCACAAACTGATTTTCCTGGGATGCTGACACCTAGCCCTCTTGTCTTTCTCCTACCATCCTGTCTTCTATCAACAATGAGAAATGTCCACCTTGTGAGGCCAGCAGAGCTCTTGTCTGCTCCAGAGCACATAGCAGCACAGCTGGGAAGGGTCCCTGTACCGCCTGCCCTGCCCTGTTACCTGGGACAGCACATATGCTGTCTTGGGCAGCTCCTGTGCGGGCCACAGGACATCCTGAGTGACAGGTATTGGTCATCGCATACCTGTGGAAGCCTAGGATGCGCCTGCAGTGGCTTCTCACTCTAACCAGGCTCCCTTAGGTCTCACCCTGAAGCTCAGTCAGCCTATGAACTCGCTGTCCTTTTGAAAGTCAGCCCTGTGAGCTTGGGGCATCTTAAAATAGGGCTGACAGCAGGCGGCTCAGAGGTCAGAGGAGGTGGCCTTTATAGGAGTTGCATATGAGAGCTCGAGGTGCCTGCAGGATCTGATCCAGCACCAAGTCCCAGGAGTATTCCAGTTTGGACAGCCGGGGCTTCCGTCCAAATGTGGGAATGTGGTGACTCTGTACCCCACTGAAAGCCCACACACTGAGGTTTTCAGGGAACAAGACAGGCAGAGTGCTGGCACCATGCAGACCGGTCAGCAGGGGTGCACTGCTTTCATGTGGCAAGTGGGGTGTGGGGAGAGCAAGGTGCGCAGCACAGCTCCCTCCCTGAGTCTGAGAAGACCACAAAACGTGTGAGTGCCACTCCAAGGCTCCTGTAGCCTGGGAGCTTGCCTTTCCCAGCATAGCAGTTGCTATGTGAGCCTTCTTCAGCTTTCCAGCCCTCGGTCTCCACATCTCAAGAGCCTGGAGGTGCGTCTCCCCTGATTTGTCTCCCCTATTTGTACAAATAGGCACGTAACCTATGTCACTTCATCTTGGGGAAGTTTTGTTTCCCCCAGTGATACAGTAAGGCAGCGGAGACTCACTAGCCACCCAGCTTGCTCTTTCCTTTCTGGGCTGGGCCCCGCACATGAGCTCCAGCTCTGACTGTCTTGGCTTCCCAGTAGATTTCCAGCATTAATTCTTCCTTTCACAGGCCCCCTTCATTCTTAGCTGAATGGAACAAGTCTTGTAGTCTGAAAATTGGATTTGTGGTTTGATCCCATGTTCTAGGCTGACTGTGTGTTACAGTGAGCAGCTGTTCACTAAACTACTGCTGTGTGCCTGGCCGGATCCCGGGAACTTTAACACGATGTCCCCAAGGAGAACACACTCCGGCAGAGTCCAGGAAAGTCAGGAAGACAAAAATGGAGGGGTAAGTCCACAGGAAAATGGTGGAACAGGGTAAAGGACCTGAGAGGATACATGGTGGTACAGGGAACTGCAAGAGACCCTTGGGTGAAGGCCACAGCAGGGCAGAGCTTGGGAGGAAAGAAAGGAAGAGACAGAGGGCCATGGCGCCATCCGTGTGACATGTGACAGCATGAATGCCTGCCTAGACATGGCGTCTTCCTGTGATAGTGCAGTGTTTGTGGACCCCCACGGGGAAACTTTTGCTAATTTCACTTGTGATGAAATGTTGTCCTAGAATTAATAGCCCTCAGGCCCCGACAGTGTCGACAGTGCATACATGCAAAAGACCTCAAGTGTGCACTCCCTGTGCGCTGATGACTGGAAAGCCAGAAGGTGAGGGAGTAGAACAGTGGGAGAGAAAAGAGGCCAGCCGTGAACAGGGGATCATGATGGAATCGCAGAGTCGAGAGGCCTTGTTTCCGCTGTGGGGCTCCACCCTCCTTCACTTACAGCTCTCTGTGTTTCAGAGCCAGTGCTGATTGCAGATAAACAAGTATTTGAAAACATGAGCTGTCAGCCACTAACCATGAGTCTTGAATCTCAGGGACAAGTGTGCAGAGGTCATGAGAGTGCAGGTGAGGGTAACTGACAGATGCCATGGGGCAAACACCAAGTGTCTTCCAATCTCTCCTTCCCCTCATCTTCTCATCTGTTCCAGCACTAAATGGGCAGTGGTTCTGAGAAAGACTAGAGACCTCTGCAGACCTGATGTGGAATGAGGGACTCCAGTGTGCCGTGCCCTATGCAGACACTTACAAAGCTGTATGGTGCCTCTGGGTTTGTAGCAATTGAGGAAACTTACTGGGATAACACAGTGAAGCCAAGAGCGCATAGCGTGGAGTGGCCGGATTCCTGAAAGCCTCCAGGCAGCACAAGACAAAGCACAAGAGCCAACTAGGTTCCAAAGTGCTCCGCGCCCTAGAGCACGTGGCCATTCATTAATATCTAAATAGTGTTCTTTGCTTTGTCTTTAACTGCTTTGGATTTCCTGAATGGCCCAAGTGCAGTCCTTGATCAGTCAGGAACATGAGGTTACTGCCGTTTCTGCACTCACTCCAGGGTCCTTCCCTCCAGAGCAGAGTTGTCCGCTACATTGTTGTACATGTTCTCCAGGCCGCTCTCCAGTCTCTGTGAGTCTGAGGAAGTGTGGGGACGCCAGCGTCATGGTACTAGGTATGCACTCCCGCTCTCATCCAATGTCTTCACCCTCCTGCTTCACCTCTGCAGATGATGGTGTTGTCTGCAGAAGTGTTGCCTGGGGCTCCTGAGGGCCATGACCTCTGCCTGCAGGGACAGGTCTATCTGCTGTTACTCAGGCTCACACCTGAACATGACATGACTGGACTGGAGGCAGAGAGTAAAATTCTCTTACCTGAGGCACACGTGGAGAATGATGTGGAGCTTCATAGGAACACATGTCAGGATAGAAGTCTAACATGAAGGTCCACTGCCTGGCAGAGTGACTGCAGTCAAGGCTGAAAGGGACGACCCTAGTGTCCACCTGCAGTCCAGTTCATGTTTCCTGACATCACAGTGTGGGGCATCAGTCAGGGCTGCACACCAAGACCTGAGATGGGGGGGGGCAGGTCTGGATGTTCACCTATTTGCGTATTCTGCATGCCAGTCCTCAGGATACCATCCAACTCTGGAGCGAGGGGCACACAGTGCCCCTGCATTCTCCAGATGGACTTCCATTCTCAAGAGCACAGGCACACTGCGTGCCTCCATGGCATCTGACAAACAGGCAAGAAGAGCTGACAGGAAGATCTGTAGATCCACAGCCAAAGGCAAATGTCACAGGAATTCTTACAGGACACTTAAGCTGCTCCTGCTTAGCCCCCTTCCTGCATTCATTCTTATCACCCAGAAGACATTTCCTTCCCATGGTCACAGTAGAACTCAGTTCCTGGACACGAGGGCTCAGCTAGGAAGGCGATCTGGGCCTCTCTGCCCTGGCAAGTTCAGGCGGTGGGCAGTCTCTGGGAGACCCTGAGGCAGCAGCAGGATGGGCCGAGGGGCCCATCTTCAGCTGCCCAGAAACTGCTGATGCACAGGGTATGGGTGCCTCAAAGCGTCCCCCAAGCTGTCCTTGAAGAGACACTGGGGAGGGCTTAGACAGCCTTGGACCACTGCAGTCCTCCTGGCGGCTCCTCAAGGCTTGAGGCGTGTTGTCATGCTGGCAAGCAGGAGCTCTGTGCTTAAAGGAGGTGGACTCCCAGGGCGAGAGCTGAGGGACACTCCTGGTTCAGAGGCAGCAGCAAGTCGCACGAACCCACCAGCTTTGGATGGCAGATGCTTCTGTCCACAGTGGGAGAGCAGTAAGTCTCTGAGGTGCACTCAGGGAGCCCTCCCTGTGTGTAGGCTCACAGGTAGAAAGGGAGTCTTGCCTCCTTTGACATCAGGGCCCGAATGAGAAAAACAGCGTGCATGTGCTGCTTCATTCAGGGAGTGTGGGAGGAGGCCCAGAGCATGCACATGTCCTGACCATGTGAAGGTCACACCGATCCAGAGATTTCGCAAGGCCTGAGCCACTGTGAAACACACTCTCTGCAGGTACCAGAATCCTTCCTGACAGAATCCCTCTGGACTCCCAAACAACCAGAGCACAGCAGTAATAGTGAATAAGCTGACAGGTGTTCTGGGGAGCTGTGACATCATCAGGAACCCCGAGGCCGACCTCCTAACAGCATTCGACTCTCAACCCCTGGTTATTGCAGTTCACCACAGGGCAGCTGTCACTGTTCCACAGCTTCTACTGCAGGAAAGCTAAGGAGCCC